AGATCCTGTCTTGAGAGGGAAAAAAAAAAGTTTTCAAGCTCATCCAGACAAAAATAAAGAACAATGAATGTAACAATACCCATAGGCTCAAGGTAAAGGGCTGAAGACAGATTTACCATGCAAATGAAAAACAAAAAAGATCAGGGGTTACTATTCTTATATCAGATAAAACAGACTTTAAATCAACAACAATAAATAAAAAGGACAAAGAAGAGCATGACATAATGATGAAGGTTCAATTCAACAAGACATAACTACCATAAATATATATGCATTCAACACTGAAACACATAGATTCCTAAAATAAGTACCTCTAGATCTACTAAAACACTTAGACAACCTCACAATAATGGTGGTTTTTTTTTTTTTTCTTTTTTTTTTGAGATGGAGTCTTGTTCTGGCACCCAGCCTGGAGTGCAGTAGCGCAATCTCAGCTCACTGCAACCTCTGCCTCTGGGTTCAAGCAATTCTCCTGCCTCAGCCTCCTGAGTAGCTGGGACTACAGGCATACACCACCATGCCCAGCTAGTTTTTATATTTTCACTAGAGATGAGGTTCCAGCAGCACATCAAAATGTAATTCATCATAGACTGTTACCCCAATAACTTTTCCCCTTTTCTGATTTTTCTTTCTATTATTTGACAGATTTCCTGTTGCCAAAGTCTAAATTCCTTAGATTTCTTTGGCATATAACTCTAAATATATCGATTTGATACCTTTCCTGCCTTAACCATCCATCACTCATCACTCTCCTGCACTATGCCTTACCCAGCTTAAAACATTTACTATTCCCTGAACACGTCTTGCAACTTTTTTGCTGTGCAAAATGTTCTAGAAGGCCCTGTTCCTATCTCACAGAATGCTACGCATCCTGTTCACAACTATTGTGTAATAGCTGATACTGAACTCACAAAATGAAAGTAAATATAAACTGTACCAAATTTCATTATTCCTCTTGAGCACATATTTTATAAAAAGCACGAAATTAAAATCGAGTACCGTCTTTTTTTCTCAATTTTATTTCTTATTCTTTAATTCTTCATGTATGCTCTTAAGTTTTGTGGTGGTTGTTGTTGTTGTTTGGTTTTGGGGTTTTTTTGAGACAGAGTCTCCCTTTGTTGTCCAGGAGATCTCGGCTCACTGCAATCCCCACCTCCCAAATTCAAGCGATACTCCTGCCTCGGCCCTCCGAGTAGCTGGGATTACAGTAGTGCAACACCAAGTCAGGCTAATTTTTGTATTTTTAATAGAGAGAGGGTTTCTCCATGTTGGCCAGGCTGGTCTCCAACTTCTGGCCTCAAGTGATCCCCATGTATGGACCTCCCAAAGTGCTGGGACTACAGGCAAGAGCTACCGTGCCTGGCCAAAAGTTAATATTTCGATGACTCTAACAAATGCATAACATGGCATTTCACCAATGGAACACAACACTATGTCTCAAAACCTTGCTTTGGTCTCTAGAATTATAAAATTGGTCTCTAAAATTATACAACCAAAGTAAGTTCTACTATACAAATGTATGCAGAAAAAACAAAGTCCTCAAAAAATGAAAAGACAATAAACTATCATTCTTAAAATCATCTAACATAAAATTTAGTTATATTTCCTGCCTATCATGCTTCTCTTAAACTGTAAAATTTTAATATGTACTCATAACAGAAAGAATATTTAATAGTCATCCATTTTTCCTTTTTTTTTTTTTTTTAAGAAAGAAAGAGAAAGAAAGGGGGAGAGAGAACAGGAGTCTTGCTCTATTGCCCAGGCTGTAATGCAATCTAAAAATAGGTATTAAAAACCTCTTTTATGCCGATAATTGTGCTTAACAGCAAAGACAGGAAAGAATAAGGGAAGAAAATAACAAACAAACAGCCAATTAATATTTCATTTAAGTCTGTGAAGTGCTATGCAAATACTGAAGAGTGATTTACTTCCAATTATGTGGTCACTTTCAAAATAGGTGTAATATGATACTGAGAAAAATGTATGTTCTGTGGACCTGGGGTGAAGAATTCTATAAACATTCACTGAGTTTACTTGTTCCAGTTTTTCCTTCTAAACATTTTACTACAAAATAATACAGGGAACAAAAGATTAAGCTTTGCAAATTTTTAAAAAACTTTTATACGAAGAACTGTTTGCTGGCCAGGCACAGTGGCTCCTGTCTGTAATCCTAGCACTTTGGGAGGCTGAGGCAGAAGCATCGATTGGGCTCCAGAGTTCAAGACCAGCCTGGGCAACACAGAGATACCCCATCACTACAAAAAGTGGGGGGAAAAAAATTAGCTGGGTGTGGTGGTATGCTCCTGTAGTTCCAGCTACTCAGGAGGCTGAGGGAGGAGGACAGCCTGAGCCCAGGAGTTCGAGGCTGTAGTGAGCTATAATCATGACACTGCACTCCAGCCTGGATGACACTCAATCTCATTCATTCACAAACAAATAAATAAAATACTATATTCACTGTCTAGTTCAGATATTATTTTCAGCTATTTTGTGTTTTACTTTATTATTAGTATAAATCATACATAACTAAAGACAAACTTTAATAAGTCATCTTTATTTTTTCCTTTAACCACTAATAGCTATGAAAAACCTATAAAAAAAAAGTTTTACTTATTATGACTGAAATAAGATCACTTCTTAGCTTTCTGGCTAAGATCAAGCATAGTAGGACCATAACATTAGCACAAATAAAGGATATACAGAAATGCATTTATTTTTGTATCATTTTAAGTATGTTGTATCCCTAAATGATTATATTTTACAAACATTAAATAACTGGTTCCATAAATCACTGACACAGAATGAAATTCAGTAATACTGTCTTTCCATATTTTTTAAGTTTAAGGATAAAGATACAAGTTATTAAAAAATATATAGACACATGTTGCTAATAAATGCTATAACCTAAGATTCTAGAATAGAGATATTACCAAAATATACAATCTCTGAATACTATATTAGTCCCCAGAGTGATGAAATTAAAGGAGTATGATCAGACAAAAAGAGCTCTAACATTCTTTGAAGTAGCATGAGTTAGGTTCCTTATTTTGTTTAGCTTGTGAAAACACGGCTAAGAGTAATCACAAAATGTCCTCTCCCACAGAATCCAAAAACCTTTTTCTGTAGGAAAGAGAATTTGGAACTAAGTATGAGGTTCCAAGTACTCTTCCTTAACTCTAAAATAAAACTCTAATTACTTGCTGGAGAAACCATGTGAAGCCACATGGAATTAGAGAAACCCTGAATCTACACAGAGAAGGCCGGTTATCTTGGTGGTCTAGCTGAAGACAAGTCTTCCAGCCATCCCTGCCAAGATGCCAGACATATGAGTAAACTCTCTTGGACATTCCTAACAAAATGTCTTGGACACTGAGCCCACAGTTGACTGTTGCCACAGGTAACCTCACACATCTCAGAATAACTAGCTACCCAGCTGACCCAGTCAAGCCACAAAATCATGAGAGAGAAAATGTTTGTTAATTTAATCCACTAAATTTTGGAGTATTTTGTTGTGTAGGAAGATATAATCAAAACAGTTATGTTTAATATTTTAAGGGTATCATCATTCCTGTCTCAATAATGTTTTCAAACCACACACTTTGCATCAATTTGATATCACAAACATACAATAATTTTAATGAGCACAGTCTATGCACTGATCTCCAAACACTTGTATTGGAAATAAGGTAATGGGGAGGTGGCCAAGATCACAAATATTACTAAAAATAAATACATAGCATGTGATATCAAAAATTACAACTATTCACCTATAAGATTCCTCATTTATTCTAGTTCTAAATTTTCAACAATTTTAAATCAAAATTTTAAAAACTACAAGTAGAAACTATTCCCACATAAACATTAATGAAATATATTTCAAAATTAGAAATATAAGAAAAATTACCTATAAGCAGTGGTTCTCAACCAGGGGTCATTTTGTCCCCAAGACAAATTCGGCAATGTCAGAAGTCCTCTTTTGTTGTCACACTAAGGGACAGAGTGTTGCTGACATCTAGTATGTAGAAGCCATATACTCTGCTAAACATCTCACAATGCACAAGACTGTCTCCCACAATAAAGAATAATCTGGCCCAAAATGTCAACAGTGCCAAGAATGAGAAACCACAGCTGGGAGGCATTAAAATGTAAAGATATTGTTTCTTTATAATCACTACCTTAAAACTAATCAAACTGAATGACTCTACTGGCAAAACTGATTATTAGAATTCTAAACAATTTTCTTTTTGAATGAAAAAGTGATAATGTTGGTATTTTTTCTATACAAAGAAAAGCATACTGCATCAAATATTAAGCTACATAAATATATAAGAAAAGCTAACAATATTAATTACATGAAAAATATGCAGAAAGAAGTATCTGCAACTATATTACTGGGGAAGATTATTTCTAATTGTATTATAACTGCTAATTAAACTATATTTTGTTTCATCAATACTAATTGTGATAAACATAAAATGTAGCACATAAAATTGGTATTCTACACTAATAATTATTATTTAAATTCATTTTCAATAACATGATCAGAGAAATATCTAATTGAATTATTTGAAAATATTTTTCATTGTGCATTTTAGAAATAATTCATCTAATTATATGGTTATATTATAATCATAATTATATATATTATTATATATATATAATTATATTAATCTAATTATATGGTTCCACAGGACTAGGCCTGTGAATAAGTCAATTTACTGTTTGTCAAATACCTTAAGGAAAAAAATATTTAAAAGCCTGAATAGGCTTTTTCAAGATAAGCTTCACATCTATGACCATGTCTGCATTTCCTATCCTTTTAGAAGGAACATTTTAATATGCTGAGACAGAGAAGAGTTTGTTGCAGTTTTGTAATGGAAATAATCATTGTGACTACTGTAAAAGGTTAAAAGAGGAACCACTAAGAGTTGTTATATCAAACAAACATATAAGGCAGTTCTTTCCTACATTAGAAAAGGTAACAATAAACTTTTCGTTACCTTCACGTTTGGCTTCTTTGTTGAAACTCCTCTGTACCAACCTAAAACAAAGCACAAGAGGATATTAAAATCACACTGTCATGTTCATAATAGTATTTTTTGAAAGAAAGAGATAAGTGCACATCTTTCCTTAAAACACACACTGTGGCTTCATTAGGATCTAGAGTTGCCCTAGTAGCTTACTCCAAAAGGAACACTCTATAATGAATAAAACATTTCTAATTTTTATCACAAGACATAAAATTCTTTCAACTGAGTAAAATGCAATTAGAAAAGACTTCAAAGGACACGTAATTCAACAGCACAAAAATTCCTAGATAAAGGTATTGGGGCAGAGAAATACTAAAATCATATCACTTTTTCGTGGCAGATAGGGAGTACAGCCCAGACTTTCTGTTTCCTGGTCTCTTTCAATCTTCCATGCAGTATACTAAACACTACTCTCATTTCTTTGCCTTCCAGCTGCTTAAGTCAACATCCTTGCTAGTGCAGATCACCTTCTTGATTTATTTCCTTTCAGCATTCACACACAGCAACAATAATAAAATTTTCAATTACACAATAAGAAACAATTTTCAGAGAAAGAAAATTTTACTGCCAACTTTTCTCAATTTCAATGTATTATTTTCAGAGCTCTTCTATAGTCTCTTTATCTGAATTTAAAAGGAAGCAGTTCCAGTGGTTAGGAGAGGAAGTCAAGAGTTATATTTAAAGAAGGAAGATAAAGAAGAGATTGTTGGTTTCTAAATTAATTGAGAGATTACTGTTAAGAGTTTGTCACACATGTTAACTTTTAAAATAACAAAGCTATGAGAAAAAAAGAATCAACTTTTTTCACCTGAAAAATAACAAACAACAAAAGAGATGAGCCTGTTTCTATTTAGAACAATAGCTGAAATAATAAATTTCATTAACTCATTTTACACCTTGAGTCTCAATTTCCCCATTTATTTTTGAAAAATTGTGATAACTTACCAATTTGATACTTTACAGTATTTTAAGAAACATAACAGAAAATGACATCAGGAGGTATGGCAGAGTTAAGTCTCTTCAAAAAGCCTCTCCTCGATAAAAGCAATGAAAACACTGTAAAGCTAAAGTAATTAAGACAGTATGATACTGGTGAAAGATTAGGCAAACAGATAACTGAATAGAGAATCCAGAAATAGACCCACATAAATACCTGATCTTTGACAAAGAAGCAAAAGTAATAAACGGAAAAAAGAGTTTTCAACAAATGGTGCTGCAACAACGGGACACCCACATGCAAAAAATAAATAAACCTACACACAGACCTTACCCTAGTCACAAAAGTAAACCCAAGATGGATCACAGACCTTAATGTAAAATGCAAAACTATAAAACTCCAACAAGATAACATAAGAAAAAATGTAAGTAACCTTGAGTAGAGCAATGACTTTTTAACTACAACACCAAAGGCATAATCAATGAAGGAAATAATTGATATACAGAGCTTCATTAAAATTAAAAACTTCTCTGTGAAAGGCATTGTTACGAAAATAAAATGGCAAGCCACAGACTGGGAGAAAAATATTTACAAAAGACCTATCTGATAAAGGAATGTTATCCAAAATATACAAAGAACTCTTAAAACTCAATGATAAGAAAATAAACAGCCCACTAAAAAATAAGCAAAATGCCATGCATGGTGGCTCACGCCTATAATCCCAGCACTTTGGGAGGCCAAGGCAGGTGGATCACGAGGTCAAAAGATCCAGACCATCCTGGCCAACATGGTGAAACCCTGTCTCGACTAAAAATACAAAAATTAGCTGGGTGTGGTTGCGTGCCTGTAGTCCTGGTTACTCGGGACGCTGAGGCAGGAGAATCACTTGAACCCGGGAGGCAGAGGTTGCAGTGAGCTGAGATCGTGCCATTGCACTCCAGCCTGGTGACAGAGTGAGACTCTGTCTCCAAAAATGAAAATAAAAAAAATAAGCAAAACATCTAAACAGACACCTCACCAAAGATGATACAAGTATGACAAACAAGGATATCAGAAAATGCTCAACATCATTATGTTATTAGGCAATTGCAAATTAAAACAACAATGAGGTACCACTGCATACCTTATCAGAATGGCAAAAATCCAGAACACTGACCCAAACCAAATGCTGGTGAAGATGTAAAGCAAAAGGAACTCTCATTAACTGTTGATAGAAATACAAAATGGTACAAAGGCACTCTGGAAGACAGTTTGGTAGTTTCTTACAAAACTAAACATATGATTGAGCAATCCATTCCTTGATATTTACCCAAAGGAATTCAAAACTTACATCCACAAAAAAAAAAAAAAAAAAAAAAACTACAAATGGATATTTACAGCAACTTTATCATAATTTCTGCCAAAACTCAAAAGCATCTAAGTTGTCATTCTTCAAAAGATGAGTGAAGAAATAAACTGTGGAGCATCCATCTAATGAACTGTTATTCAGTGACAAAAAAAAAAATGAACTAACAAGCCATGAGAAGACACTGAATGAATCTTAAATGCATACTGTGGATACATTTAAGACCACATAATGATAATGCAAATGTGATACCATACTCTCTCGCAGTCAATTTTCCTCCCCAACCTCCTCCCCCAGCCCTGACAACGATTGATCTAAGTAGTTTCAAAACCACATGATCATCTCTAAGGAATGACACCATTGTAAGATGCACATGAGAAATCTGCTCAGTGAACTTCAGCCATCACCTTTTCTTAAAACCAAAACTCTGCTACAAGCTTTGCCAAATGTACCCATTCCATGACTGAGAAGAACTGAAGACAGTAAGGAAAAGAGAAAAGGAAGAACAACTCATTATTTTTATGTTTCTTACATATGAACCAAAAAATTTCACAAGCTCTCAAAGAAACAAAATATCTCCAAAATCGTTATGAATCAATAGGAAATATATGTTGTTAATGAACTAGTACAATGAAGTATCTTCCAAATGTCAATTTACCTATTGTCCAAGAACTCTGGACAATCTACCTTTGCAAATATATTCTCCCCTTTCATTTTCATCATTAATATCTTGACTTTCCAAGATTTCAGAATACTAGCAAAGAAAGTGAAACTCCCCTTGATGTTCAGATTATCTGAGTCTTCATCAATTTCAGTGTCATAATATGCATTTAACTGAAGAACACATCAGAGTCCCATATGGTGAGTAAAACATCTGCTGGTTTGATTACTACTAGGAACTTAAGGTTAAGGCAAAGTTTTATACGCTAATGTTTTCAGAAATAAATTTTTGTAGAAAAATAAAGAAAGGAAGGCATTCTTACAACACTCAAGTTTATAATTTAAAGATTTATGTCTAACTTTAACTTAAGTCAGAAAAATATAATTGAATTCTGTGGAATGCTAAACAAGTACTGCCTCCAAAAGTTCTTTATTGGTCTTCTATCCCTTCTACCTATAAATACCAGCTCTTCCTTTCCTCAGTAACTTGCTGTAACTCTCCAAGTTCTAAGCTAGGGGCATGTTACTCTTACTCAGCATGATTGTAAGAAACACAGACTTTTTCCACTTCACCCAAATGTATGGAAATGAAAGAATTATTGGAAATGGCTTGGGTATCAACTTCAAATTCCAAAACAAAAGTTTAGAATTTTGAGCCTCAGTTACTCCTCTGCTCTAAACTCTCCAAAAGCATCCCAGTTCAAAACAAAATCCAAAGTCTTTATTAGAGCCTCTGCTGATCTCAACTTCCACCACTCTCTCTGCTTCTCCCCATCCCATCCATCCACTGCAGCCAAAATAGTCTCTCTGCAATTCTTTCAACTTATTAAGCAGGTTAGTGCCTCAGCACCTTTATACTTTTTGCACCATATTTCTGGACTGTTCTTCCCCTCCCCACACCCCTTCCACCTAGAGTATCTCAGGATTCCTTCCTCATTTCTAACCGTTCTCTGCCCAAATGTTATCTTCTCAGAAAGGCCATCCACAATCATCCTACATAAATACACAGAAAACAGAAGTTTCCCCTGACCCACTTCCCCACTAATATGGTCTGGCTTTGTGTCCCCACCCAAATCTCATCTTGAATTGTAATCTCAATTATAATCCCCACATGCTGGGGGAGGAACTCGGTGGGAGGTAACTGAATGTGGTGGCGGTTACCCCCATGCTGTTCTCATGATAGTGAGTTCTCACAAGATCTGAAGGTTTTATAAGGAGCTTTCTCCCCTTTGCTCGCACTTCTCTCTCCTGCTGCCATATGAGGAAGGATGTGCTTGCTTTGCTTTCCACCAAGGTCTCCCCAGCAATGCAGAACTGTAAGTCAATTAAACTTCTTTTCTTTATAAATTACCCAGTTTTGGGTATTCCTTCATGGCAGCACAAGAGCAGACTAATATAGTAAATTGGTACTACAGAGCATAGGGTTCTGCTATAGGTTCCACCCAAAAATGTGGAAGCAACTTTGAAACTGGATAACAGGCAGAGGCTGGAACAGTTTAGAGGGCTCAGAAAAAGACAGAAAAATGTGGAAAATTCCAGAACTTCCTAGAAATGAGGGCTCAGAAAACAGAAAGATGCGGGAAAGTTTGGAACTTCCCAGAGACTTGTTAAATAATTTTGACCAAAATGCTGACAGTGATATTGACAATGAAGTCCAGGCTGAGGTGGTCTCAGATGGAGATAAGGAACTTGTTGGGAATTAGAATAAAGGTGACTCTTGCTATAATTTAGCAAAGAGACTATAGGCATTTTGCCCCTGCCCTAGAAATCTGTGAAACTTTGAACTCGAGAGAGATAATGTAGGGTATCTGGTGGAAGAAATTTCTAAAGAGCAAAGCATTTTCAAGAGGTGACATAGCATAAAAATTTGGAAAATGTGCAACCTGACGATGTGGTAGAAAAGAAAATGGGTATTTCTTTGCTACCACATCGTCAGGTTGCACACTGAATTCAAGCCTGCTGCAGAAATTTGCTTAAGTTATGAGGAACCAAATGTTAATCACAAGACAATGAGGAAAATGTCTCTAGGGCATGTCGAAGACCTTCATGGCAGGCCCTCCCATCGCAGG